ATATGACAATGATGAACTGGTGCTGTGTGCTGTGTGCCCTGTGATGGACCATCACCATCTGAGACGTACTAGTTCAGACATGCACTTTGTTGACTCTTCCCAAACATAAACAACCTTATGTTAATGGATGTCAGTGTTATACAGTATATAAACATGATGCAGCCACTTTTATTTACATCTTGTTTTTCCATTGCTCTTTGATACCAATTAACTAACCCCTTATTGTTAACCACCACAGAATCCCACTGTGGCCAGCTGTTCAGAAGAAAAACAAATCCACAGCAGAACCTCCATGTAGATTGTAGATTGGCAAACATGGCAGTAGGACTGGGGTTATGACACTGTGAAAGGATGCATGTCTCATCAACGGGATGCTGGATGTGTGAAGGTGGACTACAGTGTTACAGATTCACAGAAAGTGAGCATCTAGAGCATCTAGAGGAATTAACAGAGGTGTTCAAATTATAACTAAGTGTAGTCTGACAGGAAAAGGAAAAAACAGTATTATTCAATTCAATTCAATTCAATTAATTTGCTTAACTAAGCAAGTGACTATACATGTTGTGTATATGAACAGAAAAGACCAGAAGACAATGGAGGAGAGGAAGCAAAAACTCCCTAGTAAGGAGAAAAACAACCTCTAGGGGTCCAAGGTCAACTGGCTGCCCAACCCCTTTGGGCATGCTAACATTATACAATTAAAATAAAGGAAACAATGAATAAAGGTATTAATCCATCCATCAGAGCAGCTTGGGGTCAGAGCAGCTGACCCCGCGCTCTGACCCCAAGCTTCCCGCCCCCCAGTCTGTGTGCCTGTGTGTCTCATGGAGAGCAAGCTGGGGTATGCGAAAAGACAAATTCCTAATGCAAGAAATTGTATTTGGCCAATAAAGTGATCTTATCTTATCTTATCATGTCTTCTGTATGCATGCAGATTTCTGTAGACCAGCAAAATCCTCCTAAACGATAGCTACTGTGCTGTATATCCACGATGTCCCTCTTGGATCCATGGCAGGAATGCAGCATCCAACTCATATGGTGCCCAGCCTTGGCGCCATCCGGACATGTGGGAGGAGAATAGGATAGTTATATACTGTATATATATATATCATTTATATGATGATATATCATATCATCTTTAAATGGGGTGGTGTGGTGGCTCTGGGGCTAAGGATCTGCACTTGTGGCTGGAAGGTTGCCAGTTCGTATCCCGCGGCTAGCAAGAGGAATCCTACTGTGTTGGGCTCCTGAGCAAGGCCCTTAAACCCAACTGCTCCAGGGGTGCCATATAAAATGTCTGCCCCTGCACTCTGACCCCAAGCTTCTCTTCCTGTCTGTGTGTTTCATGAAGACCAAGTTGGGGTATGTGATAAAAGACAAAATCCTAATACAAGAAATTGTATATGGCCAATAAAGTGATCTTATATCAGTTATATTATATATATATATCATCATATCATATTATTATATCAAGACAGATGAAAGGTGTAAATCCAGACCTCCTGGTCCACAGGATGTTCGAGTTCCCAATTCTGATTTGAATTACTTAATTGAACCAACTAATTGGATAATAATTGACCATTTATGTATTCTTGAAGTTTAATTTTAGGTTTCTTCTGTGGCCAGTTACTTTACTAACATACTGTATTGTTTTATCTGTGTTTCAGACTCTGTAGTCTGGGTGGCGAAGAAGTGTCTGTTAAGAAGGTGGAACTTTTTCAATCCATCTGGTATTTCATATTCCATCAGATTGGAAATGTTTTTATGTTTTACAGTTGCAATTCCAAAGTAAGAAACATCTCAATTCTAAGTGTTACTGTAGCAAATGTACAGCAGAGTAAGTGTACAAACTGTACAGTCACCACTAGTGTATGAAAGCTGTAGATACAGGTGAAAGTGCAGATAAAGAAGACACGTTTAACACTAGACATGGAGAAACATGAGCCCCTTTTTCCCAAGATAAGAAAAGTGAAGTGGTGCAATTCAGTACACCTTCAGACACTTTAGAAACGGGAGCAATATTTATGAAGTCTTTTCTCTGTTCATTTAGCAGCCTGGGGAAATTCAGCTTGGCTTCCTGTCTGGAAGCTGTATTTACATACTGTGACTGATTTTGATATCTCGATGTTTAAGATTACTCCTCCGACAGTCTAAACAAAACTCCTCGGATTATAAACAACCCCGCATCTCACGGAAGGGCAAGCGTCTCTGAAAAGGGAAGCTGTGCTTGCTTCACTGGTTGTTGGGTAGCGCTTGGATACTTGGCTTTCGGAAGCAGAGCTTCGATTAATCTCTCTACAAAGAGCCGAAAGTGCAGGAAGGGTGGACATGAATTCTGAGCACAAATTCGCGTCTTCTCAGGTTTGTGAACTGTAACAACAGCGGCTGGTATGCAGGACAGCTCTCGGATGTTTGTCCAGTGAGCATCACACACAGGAAATGAACTTGTTCAGATGCTGTTAGTGGGACAATGGAGAACTGAGAACACGAGGAGTTTTGCTTACACCTCCTTGTGCACTGTGTTCCTGACCACTTCTTGCAGAGTAATTGCTAAAAACCTTCCCAGCATTAGTCAGCAAATGTGTCATTTGTTCAGCTGCCCTCTGACTTTGTTTATCTTTTATACTGATGAGAGAGGCTGAAGGACTCCTTGGATTTTCCTAATTACATGCAATGCCCAATTCCCATCATGTTTAGCCATGTTTTTATTCATTTTTTGCAAGCTGTTGAGTTTTGCTTTGTGAGCTATCGCTCGGATGTTTGACAAGGACCAGTAAAACACGTCAGCATTTCATATACAGTATCACAGCAAATGTACCAAGGACTCACGTAAGATAAAGCCCTCTACATGTTATGGGGAGGGGTGTTCCCTCTCTTGTGTGATACACTCTTGTGTGGTTTGTAAAGGGAGTTTGTTGGCTTCTAAACTTTAATTGTGAAACCCTTACCTTGAGGACAGTGCAATCAAAACTGTCTTAAACAGTGTGGCTGCTTAGTTAGTGCTCAACCTCATAAGCCTCCTCCACCTGCAGCACAGTATCTCCAGGCTGAGCTACAGCTCATTTGTTAATGTTTCTCAGAGTCTGAGAGGTGGTCAGATGACTGTGCTGGTTTGTGC